CAGCTGCAGCACTCAGCAGCCTCTCTTCACAGGCAAGTAGTGGAAACAAACCCACTGTTAGTCCCTGTGATGGTCTCCACGCCAAGGGCCCCGACCATGACACCCAGGTAATGAAAACGTGTCCCCAGTCACCCGTTTAGAGGGGAGGGGGCGTTCTCTTTTAGCTTAGTCACAGACTGGTGTATTTTCCCTGTAGTATTCCATTGGGGGTAACAAGGACTATTTGCTGTCGCGTAACGAGCCCCTTTGCTGGCGAAAAGCACGACGGAGACGATTCTACAGAATGAGCGTGTTTGTTGGGCTTTCAGAGAAGCGGTTTCACTGACGACTGAGCTGAGACAACGGCTGAGTTTGCGACCATTGTCTGTAGCTGTTTTACCCCACTTGTGGGAACTGTAGTTTGTGCAGCATGAAAACTGAAACAATGATCCCTTCTGGAAGCTTTTTTTTTTTTTTTTAATTGTAGCTTTAGATGAAGGCTTACATAGCAAATTAATTTCTCATTAAACAATTAATACATATATTATTTTGTGACATTGGTTGCCAACCCCATGACGCGTCAACACTCGACCTTGGGTTCCTCATTTCCGTTCATCCAGCTTTCCTGTCCCCTCCTGCTTTCTTGTCCTTCTGGAAGCTTTCTGACTAGCCTGTGATGATTTTATTTTGGATTACTGGATATTCCTTTTAAGGATGTTTGCATTACTGGAGAGACGGTAGCCTTAAGTATCTGGATATCAAACAGTGATTCCCACTACATGGGTAAGTGTGTGGTAGACAGAAGCCTGATATCCAAATAAGTGGTACCCCAGTGAAGTATAGCTTGTATGGGGAGTGTAAGTATTATTACTGTAATAAGAGTGAGTAAATTTCATGTGCCTTTTGTGTAAAAGCTGCAGAGGTGGTTTGGAGATATAGTCTGTATCTGTTGAGATAAAGCAGGGGGGTCTTTTGTGAGTCTGTTGTAGTAATTAATGATATGTTTATAATCACATAGAATCTCGACTGGGGGTAAAATTTTGAAACACAGGGGCTGGCATGTCATTAACTCCTAAGGAGGTTACCTGTGGGACCTGGAGGGGGTTGGTCTTAGGACATTAACACTAACAGGAATCTTCTAAGCCAAGAATTTCAAAGGTTTGTTCATTTGAATTTTTGAATTCCATTAGTTGTTTTTCTAGAGGACTTTGGAGGATAAAGAGTGAAGTTTCCGGATAAAAGGCAAACCTTGACAGTGTTTCTCAACTACAGTGTCAGAAAAACAAATGTTTCTGTCATTAGAGAGAAAAGTCGGGACTCTCCAGGCTGGAAAACAAAATGAAGTGAAAAAATTTTTTTTTTTTTTTGCCTTAGTTGGGTCTGTAGCTCTCTGGCAAGGAAATTTGTAATCCACCGTGGAAGTAAACACACTACAGCCAGATGTGTTTATAATGCACGGCAGGAGGCGTCTGTGTAAAGCCATTTGGAGGTGGCTGTGTGACGGGCCTTCGAGACTGGACTCTGCCTACGTCCACCTTGACAGTTTTGTCAGGATCGTTTTGTTGGCAGTAGGAGGTGTTTTGGAAACATCCTTGGTGATATCGCTAAAATTATCCCACGAATGTTGGTGGAATATTGTTGCCAATTTATCTCTGCAGTTATGGGTGGTATCATCTACAGTTTTGTTTTCTTGGTGATATCAGTTGGCCACCCAGAGACGTAATGGGCATCCTAACTTTCCCCTAATTTTCCTTTTTTACCAAATCATGGGTTTGTTTCTGACCGTTAAAAGCCTCTCTGAATTCTCCAAGACACGTCTCATCCGTGTGATGACAGGAGTATTTATCTACGTGAATCTTGTTTCTTTAGCGCATTGTCATTTTTAGTTGCTGTCGAGTTGATTCTGACTCACGGTGACCCTATGTGTATCGCAGTAGAACTGCTCCATAGGGTTTTTAAGACCGTGACCTTTGGGAAGCAGATTGCCAGGACTTTCTTCCAAAGTGCCTCTAGGTGGGTTTGAACCACCAACCTTTTGCTAGTAGTCTAGCGCTTGATAGTTTGATTCTTTAGTGTAGAGGTTAGCAAAATATTAGCGTTAGTCTGGGTCTTTGTGTTTTATTGTTATTACAGCCATGTTCTTAGAGAATGGTACATCATCTAAAATGTCTTTGTCATTCAGCTTTTATAGGTTTTTGTCAAGGTTATAAGCCTCTTTGTTTCTAAAGCATTTAAATTTCGTGGACTGCCCCCAAAACACATTTATTTATACTACTAGTATATCAGTGTTTTTTTTTTTCTTTCTAGAAACCATACAAGCATTTAAAAATTATTCATAAATTAATTTAGGTCTAAGTTTTTAAGTTAAATCTGGAAATTACAATTTAGTTAACATATGAAATCTTTATTAATTGTAGTATCGTAAGTTTTATAAAGTTAAACTATTTAAGAAGACATCCATTATTATTTTATTTGAACACAATTACATATATATAAACGATCTCCGGTGGCGCAATGGTTAAGCGGTCAGCTGCTAACCACAAGGCTGGCAGTTTGAACCCATCCAGCGGCTCCACTGGAGAAAAGACCTGGCAATCTGCTCCCGTAAAGATTACAGCTGTCATACAGTGTTGCTATGACGTGACTCGAAGGCACATGTTATTTAGAAAACCCAGGTTAACAGCAGAAACTTTTCTTTTGTTTGCAATTTTTCCCCTTTTAAAGCGTATGGTATTTCTCAAGCCCGCTGAGGAGATTTTCGTGGGGTGAAATTAGAACTTAAAAAACGAAGGAGTTTGGGAGTTCCAAGTTTGGAACCTCTGAGATACCTGCATTGAAGTTGGCCCATTAAAATGTTTTCTTTTGTAAAGGAGTGTTTATGTGAAGCTCACCTATTTTAATAGCTTCACGGCACATTAGTTGCTTTGGTGTAGACAGAGAATCCCAAGCCTTAAATCTGCCCTGGTTTTTCAAGTGCATGTAAGAGACCCTGCTAGCAAGATTTTCCAAGGCCTGATGTAAATCAGTTCACCCACCTGCTGAGTGTACAGGACATCTTGTCTCTCCCTGGCAGCAGACCACAGGCTATTTAGAGTGATGTGGCTGTTCTGTGAACTCCAATGTAAAGAGGGAAAAAGGTCAGTCCCAGCCTTTGACTTCACACAGTGTTAACTGATTCTGACCTTGATGGGGCTGGCTGGGTTACTTTATGATGTGACTGACCTCAAACAGCAGAACAGTTATATTTAGCATTTCCTGGTTATCCACCAAAGGCTGTGTTCAAAGATGGCTTTCAAATGGGCTGGACACAGGAGAAAGGGAAAAGCAAGCTGGAGCAGACAAGACTTTTTGAAAGATTAAACCAAATCCATGCATCATGGCGTCCTGAAACTTGCCTGGAAGTAGGGGCCATTTTGGAGTTGCGGGAGTCTTGAAATTGGAAAAGGGTCAACAATGCACCTGTTTAAAAGGAAAAATGAACATTAGATGTGTTCCACATCTTACAGCCTTGCACGAGTCACTTCCACGCTGTACTGAGGGGCTGGCTTCAGCTCCAGAAAGACACAGCTTTCACCACCTGTCTGGGGCTCCATCCCTCACCTTCCTGTGGGCTGTCCTCCATCCAGCCTGAATGCAGGTGACCACTGTATGGGTGGTTAAATTAGTGAAATGTTTCAATACCAGCTGGTAAACGGCTGTGACCTAGTCCCTGCCCCCCGCCCCTGATGTCCCAGCCCAAGGTTCTCCCCCATCAAGACCACTCCTAACCCAGCAACTAAAGCCGCAGCCTGGGCGCGGACGCTGTGGGGCCGCCAGCAATCCCCGACACGCGGAGCTCAGGGCCCTTCCCCAGACGCCTTTGGTTCTCTGCCACTCCTTCCTCTCCATCCTCTGCTGACTTCTCAGACACAACTCCATCCTCCTTCTCCACCTCACAATCTGTCTTCCTGTCATCATACAATTTCCTCAGAGTTAAGTCTGAGAAATGTTGGCTGATCTCAGAGCACGCAGTTGAGCTGGACACAGAGCCGTTCCCTGAGAATGGCAGCTTTGACCACAGGGAACTGTCAGTTCTCTGACACAGTGTAGTGGCTGATGGGGATCTGCGGCCAGCCTGCATCTGAAACTGTGAGTCATCCTTTCCTAGCTAGGGACGCTGTTACTGACCCCTCAAAGATTGGGTTTCCGCAGCTGTAAAAGGGAGGTAGACCTCTGCGGCTGTTGAGCGAAATGAGTCACGGGTTTAGCAAGGTGTCTGACAGAGAAGTATTCAGTGTTGTTGCTGTTGCCGGCTGCCATGGTTCCAACACACAGTGACCCCATGTGACGGAGGAGGACTGCCCCCATGGTTCCAACACAGTGACCCCATGTGGCGGAGGAGGACTGCCCCCATGGTTCCAACACAGTGACCCCATGTGGCGGAGGAGGACTGCCCCCATGGTTCCAACACAGTGACCCCATGTGGCGGAGGAGGACTGCCCCCATGGTTCCAACACAGTGACCCCATGTGACGGAGGAGGACTGCCCCCATGATTCCAACACAGTGACCCCATGTGGCGGAGGAGGACTGCCCCCATGTGGCGGAGGACCGCCCCCACAGGGTTTTCTTGCCTGTTGTCTTTATGGGAGGACATCACCAGGTCTTTCTCCCGTGGAGCTGCTGGGTGGGTTCGAACTGCTGACTTTTCCGTTAGCAGCTGAGCGCTAAACCATTGTGCCACCTGGGTTCCTTAAGAAGTCAGTAAAAGCTAGTAAGTACTGTTTTCTTGAGGCCTTTACGTTTAGGGTTGATGCAGAGGAAAACCATCACTGGATGAGCACAGGTTTCCAAGGACCCTCAGTGATTCTCGGGGAAACACACAGAGTCTACTCTGACCTCGGCAGGGTCCAGCTGCGAGAAATCAAACACCACCTTTCCTAGTCAACTCCACGGAACAAGCAATGATAGGATGGCTTACTTGGGTGTGAGAGGATCCAAATAAATGTATCTTGCATGGAAAAAGAAAGATACAATTCAAGGCTTTTGAAAAAAGCATCATTTATTTCAAAGTACAACGCAAAGTTGTATTTTTAAGAAACGCACGTTCAATCTTGTATCTCAAGACTTGGCTATGTGCATTTCAGTTCATCTTTAAAATAAATTCAGGTATACAAATGTTACATACCTCAAGTACAAACAGCACAGAAAATGCATATGGTCTCAACTGAATGTGTGTACATTCATCCACTGTTCTTAAAGGTGACTTACACTCCTGTAATCTGCTTTTAAACCATGACAGCCTTACTTTAAAAAAATACTCTGTAATTTTCAGCACAAAGTCCTTATACATTTTTAAAATTAGAGCTTGGCGCATAATATTGCAAAATTATTAAAAACCAAACTTGGTAATTTAATAAAATTGTCACATGCCAGGACTTCTGAATTAGCTCAAATTATCTCCTTAGCCGTAATGTCGAATTTGTTGTTTATACAGATAAATAAAGAATGGGGGAAAAAAGGACAGGTGGTGGAAACTTGGTAACAGTCAAGGTTTTCCGATGTACAGGTCTTATCAGAGTTTGTGGCTAAGCCCAGACTTTTCTCGAAAAGCACAACAGCAAATCTCGTGTTACCATAATTGCAAGAAAGATCTGAGAGAAGCGGTGGTACAAGCCTGCCTGCTTGAGTCTGCTTTGCAAAGACGAGGAGGGGGGAGTGGGAAGCTACAGCGTAAGAGCCTGAAAAAGATGTCTCAGAACCAGCATATCATGATCTAGCCAGGGCCCCACTTTTTATTTTATTGTTTTTGCCTCATTTCAATTCTCATGAGGGAAGTGCGAATTCGACCAAGGGTCGGAGCTTCTTCTCCCGATTGTGGGGCTCCATATCCGCCACGGGTTGTAGGTCTGCCCCAGGTCGTCGGCTGGGCTGGAGGTGGAGGCGGTGGGCGGAGCGGGGGAGCTTTCTGGGCCCATGAGGCCGATCCCGGGCAGCGTGTTTGCTGGAGCGGTGAAGGGGAGGGCACTGCTGAGGCTGCTGGACCAAATCGAGCTGCTGAACGGAGTGGTGTACCACAGGCCACTGGTGCTGCCGAGAATGGACTGTCACAAAACAGAAAACACAGTGAGCACCGGGGCTGACGGGGCGGGCGGGTGATGAAGACTCAGATTATGCTAGGCCGCGGATTCCTGTTTATTTACTTAAAAGCAAATGTATGTACGTAGCTCCCCCAGAGTCTGAGCACATGGTTCTGAAAGGGCTGGCAAACTACAGCCAGGGGGCCAAGCCCAGTCCTGGCCATTGTGTGGAGGAAGTTTTACTGGACACAGCCACGCCCATTTGTTTATGTACGGCTTTTGCCCTAGGACAGCAGAGGTGAGCAGCAGCAACAGAAACTGTGTGGCCTGCAAAGCCTCAAATATTTACTACTTGGCTCTTTACAGATCCCTGACTCCTGTCCTGGAGAACAGTTACGGTGTTTTCAAAACGGAAGCTGGGCTGATCACAAGTGACGTCCGCGCTTTGGAATCTATGCACTTAAACCCCGAATGTCTAATTTCGTTTTCCTGAGAGAAAGAAGTAATCACAGCTGGTTCTTTTTGGATATTTTTGTGTGAAAATTTTGTGAAAGCTGAAACCATGTATTATTTTCTTTGGTAAGAACACTTCTTTTGGGAGTATAACCTTTGCAGAAAAATCCAGCTGAGAAGCAAACAAATACATGCTACAGAAGTTCCGGCCGAGGGATAGGTGCTTCTCAGAAGCAAAATAAACAAGAGCCCCTGGTTTGCCTCATGGGGGCCAACGGTCTGTGCTCTACAGAGAGTTATCCCCGCACTCAGTGCACCCAACCCTGTACACGGGGGAAACCTAAGAGGCCCACACGTCCACAGCTGCGCTCTGGTCTAACTTCCAGGTCAGGAAGAGGCTGAAGACCCCGATTCCTGCTGCGTGAGCACTCTGAGACCAAGCACACTGCTGTCCAGCTGTTCTTCCTGTGACTTCCTGACTCTAAGACTCTCATAATATTGATGGGTCGTTTGGGCAGGATACGAAGACGCAGCAACGGATGCAGACGGTAAGAGTACTAGCAAACCCGCTCACACCCATGTTTGTTGTTCGCAATGTGTCAAGCGCCACCAACGCCAGTGGCGGCAGTCACGACAGGCGAGTGGCGATGCCACAGGCCCGGGTGTCTGGCGCTGGGTACTCACTGCGGCGGTGGTGGTCGGGGAGCCTGAGCTGGCTGGCCAGGAAGGGCTGGAGTCCATCGCTGGAGACTCCCAAAGGTACGAAGGGCCACTGCTAAACTCACTCCAGCCCCTCTGGGGAGCCGGATTGCAGGATCGAGACAGCCCGAGTTTGCTGAAAACTTCTGCAAATGGGAACAATCATCCGGTCCGGGTCTTACGTGGCAGTGACCACCCCGGACAGGTGGAGACGTCATTTGGGAGCACACATCCCACTGTGCTCGCTCCCGCTGAGTCAGCACCCACCACACACAGGGCTTGGGAGAGAGACATCCCGGAATTCAAGCGCACAGCCCTGATCTGCACGCCTTACCCCGTTACCGTCTGATGACATGGCATCGCGGACACCGCCCGCCTCTAACGCTGTGATCCGCGCTAACAAAAAACTCACAGTGTCGTCTCTGACTCTGGATGGGCCTGTTGTTAGGTTGACTCATAGCGACCTCGTGTGACAGATCAGAACTGCCCCAGCAAGGACAGAATAAAAAAATAAAACAACAGAGGAGGAAGCCCAGCACGCCCAGGCATGTTTAAAGGCACAGGATTCTTTCTGGAAGCTCTTTTAAATGAGCGCTGTTGTGGGGCACTCCCACGGCCATCAGACCTGCTCCACTGGGTGGGCGTGCAGGTGTGAGGGAGGAGGCTGCCTCCGTCCACAGGGGCCGCTGGGCCGGGTCTGTACAGACAGCACTGAGGTACTGTGTGGGCCCGGGCGCCGAGAACCCGCCAGGAGAGCAAGAGCCAAACCCACGTCCCTAAAGCCAGCCCTTCTGCCTGCCATCTACCGGGGCTGGACAGCAAGTATAAAGATGGGCATCTTTCAAAACGCCTGCTGAAACGCTAACCACGCTGTCCTCTGCTCATTGCGCGGCTCTGACACGTGAAGCCACAACTTCCCTTCCCTGCTTCTTTGTCCACAGGCGTACTCGCCACCGGGCTAGGGTTGAACACTCACCGCCAGTCAGATTGAACGAGTTCCCAAAGGCTGAGAAGGAGTTGAGGGGGGTGAAGTCGGGGCTGCCTGGGCTGCTGGTGGGACTCCACAAACCCGAGCTAAAGGGTACAAGAGGGAAACGCAACATACAAAATACGTGATGGTTAGTGAAAACAGATCCATTCTGCACACCTTCACAAACAGGAGATGTAGCCTGAACTGGGGGCACTCAAATACCACAAGCAAAGACAAAAGGAAGACTGAAATGGTGTCGAGGCCACAAAGGACTAAGTCACAGAGAATTCCTGAGCTCCCAGTAATATCACTAGGCGGGACCCTGGTTCAGAGCAAGTGTGTGCAGAGAGGACAGGACTTTCTTCCTCTGCTCACTCTTTGGTCGTGGAAGATTTAGTCAAAACCCTTTTCAATCTAAGACCCACTGCCTATTAGTTCCCAGACCAAAAAAAAAAAAACCCGTTGCTGTCTAAGTCGATGGCGACTCACGGCAGCCCTACAGGACAGGCAGAACTGCCCCACAGGGTTTCCAAGGCTGTAATCTTTATTGAAGCAGACGGCCGCATCTTTCTGTGAGCAGCTGAGTGATTAACCACCGTGCCACTAGGGCTCCTGTTAGCGCAAAGGAGGTAAAACTGGGGCTTTCCTTTACTGACTGTCTTTATTATGATTATTGCTATCATTTATCTAAGAAAATCAAGCGAGGCAATCACCACATGCTACCATGCCACTGGATGGGAAACGCGCAGCTGCTGTTGGTCAAGAACATGCCCAACAATTCGCTATAAATTCTCTGGTACGCGTTCCAATTTCCTTCCTCCCAAATACATTTTTGTTCTTCTATTTATAATGATCACGTCATGCCCTTTCTTATGGTAATGGAGGAGACTAGATTTACAAGGTGGGGTACAATGCTGCCCCCCTCTGCAGGGGTGGGCCTCCTTCACTGCTGTGGGAAAGGCTCCCAGGCACACGGCTGAGCAATTAGGCTTTTCTGCTTCCACCCAACAGACACCATTTCCTCTGTGGAAGGCAAGGAGATGTTTTTCATTCCCCCAGAAAAGAAGCAAGCAATTTAGAGGTGCTTGGCCATTTCCGACAACCGCCTACTTGTAGTTTAGGGAAAAATGCCCCGAGGCAGTCTAGAGAGAGGAGGTGTGAACCTGCCCCGAGAAGGCCTTTCTGTGTTGGTTAACTAATGGTCTACTGTACCTGTCGGAGCCGTCACTGTCAACGGGAGTGTGCGAAATGCCCAGGCTGCTAGAAAACTCGGTTCTGTTTGAAGAAACTTTAGCAAAGCCGTTCCCACCTGTAACAGTGGAATCCGAGTCAATCAGGCAGCTCAGGCCAAGCACATGGGCGTGACGGCTCTTGCTGGCGCAAAGCCACTCACCTGGGCTCTTGTCATAACCAGCTGTGACTGCAGCGAAGGTGGGGTTGCCGTTCTGTCCGGGGAGCGAGGCTGCTTTTGTCAGTTTGTGTTTGCTTCCACTTGGCTGCTTTGTTTTGGGGTCACTTGAAGGAGGCAGGAAGGAAGAGGACAGGTCAGGGAGTGTGGGCCTGTCGGCCGAGCGTCAAGCGGCCTTGCTGGGGCCAGGCTGGGTTTTCCTGATGGGGGTCTGACGGGGCCTGGCCTCATACGGAAAATGTTCTGGGACCTAAAACTCTTTAACCACACAGAAAATAGGAGATTTCCGGGGAAATAAAAGTCTATTACAGAACGGACGAGGGCAGGGAGGACAGTTTAGGGAAACAGAAAAGGCTGGCCAGGGCCGGGCAGCACAGCTGCCTCCATCTGAGCCTCACGGGTGCCGCCTCTTTGGACAACGTTAAAAACTGGGTCGGCTCGCTGTAGGTTCCTGTAGGGTGTGGGTTCTGGGGGGCCGGGTGCCTGCCCCATCTGTAAAGCAGGGTTCCTGGTGGAGCCTGTGCATGTTTGCTGGGGGACTGAGATGAGGCCACAGCACAAACCACCTATACCAGCGTTGCCAGTGGGTGCTCCTGATTATCATTTATTACGACAAAAATCCCGGCACAAACGAGCAGTCTCTGCCTCCAGAGAGGAACGCTTGCTGAGGCGTCAGGCCCTCAGGCCCCAGGGCTCTGTCTGCCACCGTGTCGGGCGGCCTTGTCCCTGAGGGTGCCCAGGCCAATCCCGGAGTGCCTCAGCGACCAGCAGTGATGCTAACGTCGGAACGGAAGGTTACCAGGCACTTACGAGGGCCAGGACCTGTTCTAAGCACACTACGGATTTTAACTCATTTAGTCCTCATAACCCCCGTGAGACATCGTCCATGTTATCTTCATTTTACAGACGATGAGAAGCTGAGGCTCAAGGCCGAAGAGTAACTTGCAGGTAAGTGGTGGGCCAGGACTCAACCCTGCAGTGTTGTTCCAGGTCCTGCCCTCCGTCTACTGAGCTAAGGTAAACATTAACGCCATGTAAGTCCACAGCCTCACCTCACAGATCATCCCCTTCACAGCCTCACTTAACACTTGTCATGCTTATGGACTCCTGAGTTAGAATGCAACTCTGATGTGTTAAACCTTGCGTTTCTCAGCCCGTGGGGCAAGGACCCGTGTATGAGAATGAGAACATGCTACGCCAGAGTCAGGCAGCAAGGAGGGAGAGGGGCTCCAGGGAAAGGGGCAAACAGCTCCGACAGGGAAACGGGGGCAGAAGGACTGAGACACAGCAGTGCTCTGGCCATGGGTGTTTCGATCAAGGCCGCGAGCACCCGGCTGGCGGAAATCCACCTATGGCGGGAGAGGGAGCCACCCGCAGCCTACCTGCCGCAGCTGCTGTTGACGATGCTGCTGTAGCTGCCCCGGGACACGAAGGGGCAGGGCGCGGCGGGGGGCGAGGGCGACGCGGGTGTCGGTGAGGTCTGGCGTTGTTTCAAGAAGATGTCGGCGTTGAGAGTTTGCAGAGAGAGTTTATAGAGACTATCGGCGGCTGGAGATCAGAAACAAAAGGTCGCATTAATGTGCTGTCTCCATCTTCTCTCTTCAAAATCAGTCACTTCTGATGTCACATCTGAGACTACCCCAAATTCAAGTGCTTCTACAAAGAGAAAGACAACTTAAAGCTTCTGTGTGTGTTCTAAGTTTTAAAGGAAAAAAGGGAAGCCAAGTCTGCATTATGGGGTTTGCATCGTCCATGTACCCAGGGATGGGCAGCCGAAGGCCCTGCTGGGGGACCTGAGAATCTGGCCGCTGCACAAGCTGACGCTTGTGGCAGGTACGCTGACCCGGCCACACGGTCCCAAGTTCTACAACAAGGCGAGCCTCCGTCGCTCCTGGGGTATGCCTGACACACCACCGCCCTCGTCCCTGTTTGACAAGGGGACAAGCTCCTAGTGTATTTCTGCTGCCCTGTAAGGTAACTTCCACCCAGCGGGCTGTTTTAAAAATCTTAAATGGAAAAATTTTAGTGCCTATTCTGCACTCACAAAATGCAAATTCGTATAACTCTCATCAGAACAACGACCCATTCTGTCATTTTGCACATCTATCGTGTGTGCCTGGTGCTGTTCATGATGCTGTGACACCAACAGGGGTGAGTGAAGGCTCCGCCCTTGGGGGCTCCATCTTTATGGGCTCCAGGTCTGGGAGGCCGCCCAGTTACAGACAATTATCCTGGCACAATTTCTCAGACCCACTGTCCTCCGTGTTCCTCACCCTGCCCGGCACGGTTCTGCCCCCAGTGGGCACATTCCTACCTCTGCCCCTTCACTCCCCACACAATCCCTGCTTCACAAGGAGAAAACCCGCCTTACTTCTCGGGCTTCCTGTGAGTGGTCTGCACCACCTCGCTTCCCAAACGCCAGAAGCCTGGTTTGCGTGGTGATTCCACTTCCTTTGTAATGCCCTCCAGCACTAGCTGCTTCTCCCAGTACCCTGGGGTTCAGGGCCTGGAAGAGGATACAAATTCCCTGGCCAGGTCAAGATTCCAGTATGGCAGCGCCAATCCAAGTAACCTTTTCTTTGAAGCCCATGCCATCCATTCCCCATCTTTAGCACCACCTTCTACCGACCCCACGAATTCTCCTCTGCCTTCCTCAGGGGTGTGGGCGCCCGATTCACCGTTCTTGTCTCTGATCCACCTCACTCTCACTCTCGATGAGATGAACAATCCCTTCCTCATCTGCTCTGTCTTGCTGACCTGACACCCATACCCAGGGCCCATCTCCAGTGCCACCGCCTGTACGGGCCCTGCTCTAATCTCTACATCCACGCCCACCCCCCAAAGCACAATGTGTCTATGGTATCACAGCTACAACGCAAGATAATTATTTGTACCACTGTCCTGATCCTTTATATCCACCTTTTGTATGACACCTTCTATGACACCCTTCCCCAACGGAAGTGGCCTGTTCCTCTGTGAACTGCCCCACTCTGTGCCTGCCTGCCTGCCTGCCCTGCTCTGAGTGCGCCCAACACGGGTGGTGTGCGCTGTGCTCTCTGGACACCCACTCCGAGCATGGCTGTCACGAGCGGTCTGCACTGCGCTCTCTGGACCCCCTTTCTGAGCGTGCCTGT